AGTCAACATCTCATTTTGAGTGTGTCTTAAAAATTTTAAAAAGACAAAAAAAATAAAGATCTGTTAGCACGTGCCAGGTGGGTGTCCGGCACCCGCCTGGCCTCTCACGTGAGACCTTGACCGAGTCGACTACCGGTTCTGATCCTCAGTTTCCCCAAACTTGAAATTCTGATATTGGACGAAATGATCAAATTCTCCGCTCCACCTTTGCGACCTCCACACCGTGGAGAACGGTCTTGTCCCCCTGTGACAGGGACAAGACGTCCCATTACCCATCCTTGACCAACTGCTCATCAGTCCATCGAGTCACCCACCATTCATCCGATCAGGACGCATTTCCAAGGCCCTGCGGAGCGCCAGGCGGGCCGCAGGAGGAGGGGCAGCCTGGGAGGGGCGGGGACCCGCAGGTGTCCCACAGGTGTCCCCAAGCGCAGTGCAGGTAAATGCTGTGGGAGCAGAGGACATGCCTCCCCGAGAGCCTGACCATCTCACTTCCCACGCAACAAATTCTCTCTTACCAGCACCCATGTGGCCGCCCCACCCAAATTCCGCAGTGCCCGCCGCACACGTCCCGCGAGATCAGAACAGGGTCAGCCCCTCGCCACGGTCCTCACGCCACGCAGAAGTGGTGCGTTCCCGCCCCGGGGGGAGCCACGTTCTGCTGAGAGAGCCGGACTTGCGGCTGCCCATCCGCACCGCCGTGCGTGTGGGGTAGTGTGTAGTTTACGCAACCAAGGGAGAAGCTCAGAGACAGCTGTCGGCGACATGGAGACATGATCACCAATTCGGCCCCCAAATTGAGAGAGGAGTAGGCGCGATTATCTTGTAACCCAAAAAAATGTCAAAAATGTCACTGGCGCTCTTTTTGGCTTCCCCACTTACTTGCCCAGACATGCAAAAAATTTTGTTTATTAAAAAATAAACAAAACCCAAGGGCTAGTCACGTGTTTTTGTGCTGTGTTATGCGCCGGGCCATACTTGTCCCTTCCCCAGGCAGGAGGGGTTGGGGGCCCACCCCCCCGGGGGCCCTGCTCTGGCCCCGTCCGGCCCTTTGCATGTGGGGAGGAGGCCGGCCGAGGGTGAGCCCACCCACCCCTTCCAGACCACCCTCGTGTGTTTGCGGATGGGAACTTCCTGCCCCCCTCGAGCGCCTGCAGAGGCCCCTTCCCTGCTTCTGTCTCCTGAATGGTGGCCGTCTGTGGGTGGTGTGGGTGGAGCAGGGACATGCGGATGGAGGGGGCAGATGAGGTGGCAGGTCGGGTCCCTCCCCATGGAGTCCAGGGCCAACGCTCTCCAGGCACAGGTTCCGTCCAGACTCCAGATTGGGGGGAGGGGGTCTTAGAGTCCACACTGCGGCCCCCCCCCC